GGGGAGCTGGAAGATGAGAACTGGCGACTTTGTAGTGCAACTTTAGTGCGCGGAGCAGTCTGTGGAGCTGGAAGCTGAGAACTGGCGACTTTGCAGTACAACTCTAGTACGCGGAGCAGGCCGTGGAGAACTGGACAACTTTAGTACGCGGCTGAGTCATCTCTATTCTGTATTTTGCAAAGTGCAAGACAGTTGACGGTGGTTGCTTCGCTTTCGCTCCATTGGTCGGCTCCAACTTGTTTTGTCAAAGAACATCGCAGCTCGGCGAATCAGCCTGCCACATGCCCTTTTCCTATAGGCTTACTCTTTTGGAAACTTCCGCCGCCGGCTTGCCCGGGAACTACTTGTTGTGTTATTTTCTTTTTCGATTACTATTTTGTTGAAGAGTTCGTTTAACTGAGGCATGATGGTCTCTGTAGCTAGCTACACTCCAACTTCCAGCCGTCACTGAGGGCTCAACTACCAGCGCTGGTCCGCTGCGCAGGCTGGGCGGGAGATGGAACCCTTCAGTGCTCGGGGTCGAAGCCAAGGAAACCTGGTTTTTTCTCACCGAAACGCTCCTGTCCGTTTCACCTGGAGTGAGTGTGTCCACGGGGTGGAACAGAATACAAGGGAGGTCGACCTACTAGGGTTAAAGGGGCTTTGATGGTTTTTTTGTGCCATGACCCACAGCCATATGCTGCCGATGCCTGCTTTTTCAGCGGCGTTCCAGGAAAAAGGGCCTTGCCAGGCCCTTGTCCACTTCAAACAGGACACAGTGCTCAGCGTGTTTCTTTTGCTTTGAGGATTCGGGTCGACATCATCAAGTCTCCAACCCGACTCCCTGGATCAGACTCCGCCGGTCGTCCGAAGAGACTTCTTGGGGCCCCTTCTTGGGGCCCTCTGGGGGCCCTTGGATGCAGCTCTTGGGCCGGCCGATTCCATCGGTTTCCCAGCGTGGTCTTGGCTCGACGTGTTTTTTCGCGCCAGGCGGAGCCGCGCAAGCACCAGGAGGGGCGGGATTGGTGGGGTGACGAATGGATCAACGGATCCCAACTAATGAACCACTGAGTTGATCAATCATTCATGTCTAATCCAACGAACCTCCAGAAGCTAAATGTGAAAACACATTCTTTTGGTCACTGGGATGATTTGGTATCTCAGAAGTAGACGAGCATCCCTGGTAAGAATCGTCGAGATTTGTGCACTTTTCGCGGGTTTATCTGAGATTTGATTCGTGAAGCCTAGACAACTCGTGAGTGTTTCAAGCATAGACATCAAGATTGGGATTTTTGATGGATCCTTTTCAGCTTTCCAGTTCTGGGTTTTTAGCTACAGGGTCCGTCAAGGGCGTCGTGGAAGATGCCAGGGCGCCGTGTGGCACTCTCTTTTGATCACTCGTGCTTCGGCCCACCGATTCGGTCCGATATCCCGTCTTTCGGGATCAGCAACTCCCTGGAGCCTTTTTGTGACCCCTGGAGCCTGGAGGATCAACTATCCCAAAAATGACTCAGTTTGGCTCCTATCAAAACCGGCCCGACTCGGTCAGTCCGGCCCGACTCGGTCCGGAATGCAGCGGCGGCTTCACCGGGGACGATTCCAAGCGAAAGAGATCGACAGACGTGTCGACAGACGACCGGGACGGACGCACGACAGACGTGTCGACCGGGGTGGAGGCCTTCAGTGACAGATGGGATGTTCGAAGTGTGGATGGAACACACCCGCGCTGGATCCCCCAACAGGTGAGGTATGAGGCATCAGTATATGTTTCGAATTCCACCAGGATTTCATGGGATCGATGGGCCTCATTCTTGGAACCAGCCGCAGCCGCGGCACTCCACGGTGCCTCCCTTGGCTGAACGGGCCTCCCTGGCCCCGGAGCGCAGGGAGTCCCGCCTCCGCCAGGGCGGAAGGGCTTGGCATCGCGCAGCGCTGGCGCCGACCATAGGCCGCGCGCCCCGCGGCGCAGCGACCTGCGGCTCTCGTGTAGCTGACCGATGAACGCGATTCCAGGGTGGGAGATGATCGGGCGGGTGTGAGAGCCCTGTGGGTGGAAGATTTGAACACCTTTCTGAGAAACTTGGAACGGTGGGGTTTTCTGGAACCTCTGGTTTTTGAAACTGAACCCTTTGGCCAATGAGGTTCGTCGAAGCACCGTTGCGGATCGTACACCTTCGCGGGACCCGAACTTTGGGGACCCAAAAGCACCAGTGCTTTGGTCGTGCGAACCTCAAAATGGATTCCACTTGATTGTGGGGGTCTGTTGTCCTTTTCTATCAAGTGATCCCCACCAAATCTTCACAAACTCGTGGGACTCTTTCTGCTGGCTCCAGAGCCGGCTGGGCCCACGGCGAACTCGCCAGGGCTTCTGGCCGCTGGAGGCACGAGGAGACGAGGATGGACGGCTGAAAAGGCTTTTTGGAAAAGGCTTCCAGCCATGTAGTTGGTTTTCATGAGTAACTAACTATTACTTGCAATCAAAAGAAAGCATTTGGGGAGAAAACCTCGTCGGATGAATCCATCCTGCTTGAATACCAAGATAGGCTCGTGTCCATCTTCCGAATGTTTTGGGCTCGAGATCCGCTGGATCTGGGGTCCCCAAGGAAGCCCCGCCCCCCCGCGCCCCTCGACTTGGCCTCCTGCGCATTTTGGGTGTCATGGGGCGCAGCGCAATGGCCGGCCGGCGATGGCTGCTGTTGGTCTTGGTGGCACTTGCGCTTTCGCTCCGTTTCAGCGGGGTGCGCCTGGCAGCCTTTAGCGCCGGCGCAGCCGGTGCGGCCACGGCGTGCCGGCGGCAATGGCTTCAAGGAAGTGTGCTCGGACTGGTGATCCCTCCCGCCTTGGCGGAGGAGGGTCCTCCCTTAGGGTCGATCCCGAAGGACTTGAAGGCCACCGCGGTGGGCGAAAAGGTCACGACTCCCAATGGTTGTGTCTATGAGCCATTGGACTTAGGCACCGAAGAGACGGGTCCACGCAGTGGCCCACCGCGTGGAGGAGCCAATGTGCAGCTGAAGTACACGGCTCGTCTGGAGAGCTTCTCTGGACCCATCTTCGATTCTTCGGAGCTACGGGGCAAGCGCAAGCCCAACAAGGTGCGACACAAGCGTCGTGGTGTTCGGAATTGCTTTCTATTTTGTGCAACCTATATAATTGCATTGGGGTGATCTTTTTTTTCATCCTTTGCAACCTATATAATTACATTTGGGATGAATTCTTTTTCATCCCGCTGACTCTATAGTTTTGTTTGGGATGAAATTGTTCATCCCGCTGACTCTATCTATAGTTTTGTTTGTGTTTTTGTTCGGTTTTTCTTTCACACCGGGCGCCCTGGCGAGGTGGACTTCGTGGAAAGCCGATTGAATGTGGATCCCAGTTTGCCCAACTGCGTCTTCGAGGCTGTGAAGCTCATGAAGGTGGGGGCCAAAGGACGCGCCATGTGCCCAGGGAAGTTGAGCTACAGTGAAGGCAAAGTGGCCTTTGATGCAGATGAGGAGGGAGAAGTCAAGAAGATCCCTGCTGGGGCCAGTCTTTACTATGAACTGGAGCTGCTCCGCATCATTAAGCCCTGAGAGTTGGAAAAGATGCTCTTTGTCACCTTTTCCACAGGCTGGCCGACGGAAGCTGGATAGTTTCAATACCCATACCATACCCCATTTCATCCCCCAACATCCCTCAAAAAATTCGCCAAGCAAGTCGAAAGGGCGGCCATCCTGTTCAGGTTACTCTGGTCTCACGCTCCGGCCGAAAATAGGGATTCGCCTTGTCGGGGCGGTGTCGGGGCGCCTCGAAGCACGGGCGTCTTGAAGCATGGAACCGGAGCCAGGCGCCCGCAGCAAACGAAGAGGCACTGCCAGTGCCAGGAGAGCTGAGGCGCATGGGTCTGGTTCTGAAGAGCACGCGTGCAATCTAAGCTAAGTAATCTTCACAGCTGACAAGTACATATTTCAGGGGCCATCATTGGGTCTGTTTGCCGACCTTGACAAGTGCCAGGGATAGAGGCCAAAGTCTAAAGCTGAAGTTAAAAACTGTGGACTATCTATATTATGAATGTACCAGCCGAATTGCATCTCAGCTATCGAACCATTGACAACAGCTTCAAAAATCACTGCTGCTGCAACTCACGAAGCGTTTTGGCATGTTTTGGCTCCGCAAAGAGGATCTACAAACAACAACCCCTTCCTATTCCTGTCTCTGGTGCTTTGGATCACAAAAACGTCATCTCCGCTCCAATCGGACCCAGCACGCCCTGTTGATCGTGGAGGGGGTTGACGCAGCGTTGCCGGAGCGGTGGAGCTTCCTTGACGCAGTCGCGCGCAGCGTTTGCAGGTGCAGGTGGCTGAGAAATGGTTTGAAGAGCAAGTGGAGCAGAGAAGGCCAGGAGAGCTGCAGAGGGTGCCATTTTAATGAGAAGCAATCGGTAGAATTTGGAATTTGCGGTCACTTGGTAAGGACGTAAGCATGCCTTACCTAAATGTTTCAATGGCCCTTTGGGCTCAATAAGTGGGTGCTTCCACCCCAAAGCAATGGTCTGGACGATTTTCTGGTTGTGGTTGTGGTTGTTGTTGTTGTTGTTGTTTTAAATACAGTATAGACTTTCTATGCCATCCAAAAAGGGTACTTGGGGTGTTTATAGTTATTGAACCTGGTTCGGCTCAGGGAAATGTTTCGCGGGAACTTGTCGCAGTGGTTTCCCACCGGCGCGCCGCTCAGTTCATCGAAGCTGGCCGAGCTCCTTGGCGGCGGCATTCGGCAAGAGGTTTTTGCAACAAACGGGTTCGGCGAGTGTCCGGACGATGTGGAGACGAGGTGGATGGGTTGGGCGAGTTCATGTTCAGACACACACACACACACCCAGGTATTCTCGGAGATGCTCCGAACTGGATGTCACCAGTCTGTCACTCTGCAATCCAGTCTGTCGTTTGGAAGGTAGAAGCTTCACAGTAGATCACTCTACTCAATTGCCCTGCGTGATCACAGGGTGTATGGTGCCTAGGGTCAGCAGATGGTCAGCACATAAAGTAATTCCTCCGAGCTTTCCTCACATATCTGCAGCTCCAAGGCCGGAGTCTTTTTGGTTACCCATCCAGTGAGTGGAATCATGGATGATCATGGCACCCTCTCCCCAATTCCAGGACCATCCCAGTGCCCTACCCATCCCTACCCCTCCCTCACGGTGCCCGTGAAAACCGGCCGAGGCGTGGCTTGGCGGTCTTGAAGGACCTGGAAGCGCCCAAACGGAACCAGGAGACGCCACCGCCACCGGTGCTTCCGTGCTTCAGAGCTCTGATGGACAGGACGTGACGGGAGGAAGTGCAGATGGCACGTACAAGGCCTCCAGAGTAGGATGGCACGTACAAGGCCTCTGTACAAGCACTGCAAGAATCCCACATTTGGGGGATCGTGCCATCTACTCTCAATCAACTATAGTACCCCCCTTTTGGGGGGATGAGTTTCCCCATGAAAGCCAGAGGTGCAAAAAGGTCAAAAGCTTTTTCTTCGCAGTGGAATCTGAGGGAGTCAGGTGAGTTGGTTTCTCCGCACCTGAGGACATGTCCGGTGTTTGTTGATGTTGGGATCTTTTTTCCCCAGATAGCTGCAGGCTATAGGGGTTTTAACTTCTCAATGGTGTGGCTCTGGATCGGCGTTTTGGTTTTGGTGAACTCTTCCAGGACCCCCCCAACGAAGGTCACAACAATTCCCACCAAAAATGGATTCAATTACAACCGGTCTTCTCGAACCTACTCTCGAACCTCTACTATTAAGAGAGGCGAGAGTTAAGCTAGTCCAGGACCCCCGAAGGTTTGGTTAATGGACACCCCTTGACCTCTAAGGACACTCCTTGACCTCGTGGTGACTGGTAAGATGTTTCTTCTGTCCATTTGTTCTGTCCAGCCCAGCCGTCGCGAGCTAGGAGCCCTTTCGATACACTGATTTGGATGCCCTCCTGTACAGCCGGGACCCGAGAAAGACAGGATCATGTTGTGTCCCTTCAGCAGCACTTCTAGGAGTGACTCTTCTCCAGAATTCCCACATCGAAGTTCAACGTTCGGAGCCATTCAATTCTTGGCAGTCGCGTCCAAGTATTGAATATCGTTTCTCATAGTTTCTCTCTCTCTCTCGCCTATGGCCTTGAGTCAGGGTGGAGCTACTAGTAGCTGAGTAGCATGGAGGCCTTGAGTCTGCCCTTCGACTGTTGTTTTCTGTTGCTTTCAGAGATGACCACAGATGCTGTGGCATCGGCGGACAGTTGGTCGGGCCCATGTCTCTTTTGTTTTTCAAGATGTTTCTCCGTTGGCCGTCCATGTTCTTTTCCAGGTCTTTGGCGGTTTTCCACGTCCTACGACGACTCATATGTTGGCCCTGAATAAACTTCAAGGGGCGTCTCCTGGTGCCACAAGGACTCTTGGAATCAAAGGTTTCGACTCAAGACTTGACTGGGTCTCCAAATGAGAAGATTGTAGATGAAAAGCCCAAGGCCCATTGGTTGGAGGAGTCCTGTTCTGAATTGCCAAGGTGTTGCTCCAAGTGCTGGCAGTGAGGCACAGGGTGACGGTTTTGGGGGCTTCGAAGCATCGTGTCAGGACAATTTGTCCGGCCTGGGCAGTTGGGTGGGGTTCTTCCGGTGACGTACCATCCCTTTGCCCTGGCAAGCCATAGCTAGTCAAAACTGAGAACCACGAGGCTCCACGGGACCACGGCGCATAACAAACTTTGCTCTGCGGAGCATCCTGCAGGTTCCTCCAGCAGCCGAGAGGGGCTGGACATGACGCCAAGAAGGGCTGAATTCCTCGCATCGTTCCCTTGATGACAAATGCGGATCCTGAGTACCTCGTGGACATGGGTTTCATTTGCACAAACAGATCAAATTCATACATTGTAATACATTGTATACATATATGTATACATCAGTTTGTGCAATCCCAACCATTCATTCCTCATTGATGCATGTGCTTTGGGGTTTGACAACATTTCTGCTCTGCTATCCCTCCACCAACATTCCCCCAAAGAAGCATGAACAAACATAACGAATGACGCTGCTCCGCTGTTTCTTTCGTGGCATTAACGTGCTCAAGTGGCTTTGTTTTGCAACACATACATCGGACACAGACCAAAAATCAAAAGTCTCTCTCTCTCTCTCTCCCTCCCTCCCTCCCTCCCTCCCTCCCTTCCCCTC